CCAACAAGCCCAACCTGACCCTCCCTTTCAATTGCAAAGGAATCCTAGATGCAGCAAACTCTCCCAAGCCTCCTACTCCTCAGGAAGCCATAATGTTGTACCTTCCCGATTCCCAAAGGACTTGCCATCAGCAGTGGGGAGCATGGTCAGCAGAGGGCCTCCTGCTGCCAGAGTTCTCAGGGCCTGCTCTGCTGCCAATTGCACTGCCCAAGGGCTTTGTGTTTCCTGAGCAGCCCTGATCCAAGAGGCTAGAGAGGTGGGGGCACAAAGTCAACATTTTGCCCAATGAAGGCAACTCTTGGCAGGGCATAACTGCTCTAGAGAACTGAGGCTTCAAAAGGTCCACCTGGACTTCTCTTCAAACACCTCGCACCCCAAACTCCACCTCAGCATTGCCACCAGGAGACCCTACCCTCAGCACACTTCCCACCCAGGCTTGCCTGTCTTGCTAGAATCCTCTAAGCCAACTCAATGACACTTCCTGGTACAGAGAGGACACCTGCAGACCTCGCAAACAGAAGGCAAGACCAGAGACCAATTCTACAAATTCAGGAAGTCCTAGAAGAACTGATATTGGGGCATTAGAGATAGTTGAGAACTCTCCTTTGATCTTGAAATTTCAGACCATAAGTACAAGATGCCCTCCTAGCATGCTACCCTATGAAACGGGAGATGTGTAAGAGGCAGGCCAAAGCCCTGTCTACTCTGCCTGGAGGACACTGAGCTAAGTGACCCTTGAATCAATCTTCACATCTCTCCCAACCTAGCACTCTAGCAACCACATCCAACACACGTCCACCTTATCCTAGAGGCAGCAGATGAGATGAAGTGAATTTGACATTTTGAAACCTTTTTGTTCCATTATTATTATTATTATCACTTTTACTTTGGTCTGAAAGTTATGTCCCCCTAATATTTGTAAGTTGAGATCCTAGACACCAGGAGAATGCACTAGGAGGCGGAGGCCATTGTGGACTAGTTTAGGACAAGCAACCCCAGTGAGCTGGCTCACTCCTTCAACTCTGTGTGACACAGGGAGGGGCACCGTCTATGAACAACCCAGTGAACCTGACAGCACCTGGTCTAGCACTTGCCACCTCCAGAACCCTGAGGAAGAACTTTCTCTTGTTTGTAAACGATCTTGTTTATAGCATTTTGCCTGGATACACAAATACAATTTCCTTCCCTTTAAATGGCAAATTAAATTGAAAAGTTTGGAAATTTTTGTCATATTCAATGTTGTAAACTAGGTAAACCTTTCACCATTCTGAAGAGAGAAATACCTTTCTATATCTGTTCCTTTTGAGATCTGACAAAGGTAAAGTATCAGTTGTTACTAGGCAACACTGATTAAAAGAAGGATGCTAGGATTATATATTTGCTAAATATTTTTTTCTATATAAACTCTTAGTGGGAGCTCATGCTGGGGGCTCCTCTGAATATGGTGACCTTTTAACTAGATTATCCCATGTGAAGTGTAGGCTTCCAGAAAAGGTGAATTCCCCTGCACACTGATATTAGACTCACTCCTTTGCACCTGAGGTACCTCCTGGCGGGGGCAAAGAACACTGGTTTGGGGTCAGCTGTGTGGACTTGAGAAGTACCACATCCACTAAGTAGGAGGGCTCGCTGATGCCTGGTGGCCCTTGCTTATCCTGGCCCCACTTCTTCTCAGCAGACAGGGCCCCTGGTTGTCAGGTACATCTCAAGATTTAGTGGAGTCTTGGAAGAGGACACCTGGCAGGTCAGAGTTACTTAGTGAATGTCCAAGTTCACGGAAAATGGCTTATGTCCAGAAAATATGAGTTCGGGATTTGATTTTGGAGGAGAGGATGGAGGTCCTTTTCTGGTTGACCATAATTTATGAGAAAAAAGAAGAATGGATGAGAGAAGGGAAGAAGGGTAAATCTGGAAGACAGTAAGCACTTAATTTGATGCAGAGAAATCCTAAAGTGTGCATGAATTTAAACTGTAATGATCCGGAGTTATACTTAGAATTTTAGGATGACACCAAATTTTAGTTGTTTCACATTTCTGTTGCTAAGAAGTCATTGAAATTTCAAACTTATGCCATCATGAAATGCTACATAGGTCAAGATTGAAGCTAGTCATTGACAGAGTATGACTCAGAGAGAAGTGCAGGGCATCAATTGCATGCAGAGAGTTCAGAATATCTACATAGGGTGAGAAGGTTCACCACGGGACACACATGCACTTCCAGACTTTTTTGACCTCGTCATAACACGATTGTGAATACTATATCAATGATCTTTATGATAAACACTATTACCATTTTTCATACTTTAACAAAAATAAGTGACACCAATAACATCATGATATCTCCAAGATGAAGTATTTACACCATGGATCACAAAGACAATGTATGACTCACAAAAAGTATGTGACAATTTGTTAAATATGCAGATTCCAAATACGGAATTAACTTCTTCATGATTTTATAATTTTATTATGTGAAATACTCCTTCGGTAAATGAGTATTTCTTGAGCTCCTTCTATGTGCCAGTCCTTTTTTAAGAGGTGTCACAATTTATTTTTACCTAGATGTATTTAATATTTCTATGTCATTTAAAGATGTTATTAATTTAACTTTAAAGTACATCATACAATAATAAAATCCTCCTCAATCTCATGTAGTAATATAATTTTTTTAAAAAAAGGCTTACACTTTTTTGCTTCCAGGTGCACCACTATAAAATACAAAAAGGAGAAACAAAATTACTAATTTTCTTATGACTATTAGGGCTCTACAGTCACACCTCCCACATTTGTACTCCAATATAATGTTCACGGTACACATTCCAGAGAGACAGGTTGAGGCACGAAACCCAGGAGATCACCAGACGCGGAGCCTACGGTGGACAACGTGTGTGTGTGCGTGTGTGTGTGTGTGTGTGCGTGTGTGTGTGTGTGTGTGTGTGTGTGTGTGTGTGAGAGAGAGAGAGAGAGAGAGAGAGAGAGAGAGAGAGAACCAAGATGACAGGGGAGGAGAGGGTGAAGGCATTGAGACTGACTTGGCCCCTCAGAAGCTGCATGGTTCCCCTTCAGGAGACTTTTCCTGGGGGGCTGCTCAGGAACCAATGGT